CATTCATTCTTTCCAAATTCTGCTCACGTGAGAATCTCTCCATAATAATTACCTTTTATTTTCCATTTCCTTCTCCAGCACTCCCAGAACTGAGCAGAGCACTCGACAAAGATCCCCAGTAAACTACCTTTGTTTTATTTACCATTAACGTAACAAGTACCTAAAGGCCTTATTATCCTCCTCTTCACATGTACAGTTCGGAAGGTACTCAGGGTACACCATTGTGTGTCCCATGAGGGAGTTAATCTTGTGCATGCTTGTCTCGGCTGATAGGAACAAGAATAATTATGTCTCACATAAAATACCTGCACACAGACAATGGAGGAGACTCAGCGAGCAGAACTGCTGAGGTGGGAGGGACCATATATATAGGGTTACAATTACAGTGTTGGCAAGTAGAGAGCAAAATCATAGAAAGCAGTGTGGCTGGGCTTGTGATCTGCCTGCCTGTTGGAGGAGGGAAGATGAACCTTTTGCACCCAGGCCTGGATCTCTGCCTGCACTGAGGGGCAGGTTTGTCGAGTGAATGGAGCCTGAAGTAATTGCCCAACATGACTGAGCGCAGACAGCAGTGAGCTCACGGATCTGCAGCCACAGGAGATTGACAATTGCAGGCAAGTTTAGATTAGAGCTAGAGTCAAGGTATCTAGTGCAGAGACAAAGAGCTGCCTGGAGCATGCCAGATTTCTGCATAAAATTGTCATTATTTATAAATTTTATGTACATTGTACTTGCTCAGACAGAGTAAATGAATTGACCAATCAGAAGCCAAACTTGACATTTTGGAGGAAGAATTTCTTTCATGTAAGTAAACCTCAGAACCTTAATTTTGATATAATTTAAGAATTTCTCTCTGTATTTAAAGAAGTCAAGTCTGCAAGCTGTAGGCAGACCTGTGTGCCATGTTGGGTGGGCAGATGTGAGCATAAGCTGCCACTTCCCACAAGCAGCTGCCAGGATGAGAGTTTACATCTTGGAAAACATAAATACATTACCCAGGCATGGTTTTAACATTCTTACATAAGGACTGAACCTGTTTTTATGTAAACCCTTCTTGTATCTTGGAGTTGCTTCTGCCTTTCATTGAAATAAATAAGACAGGAATCAGGCCAGCAGTTTATGGGGTGTCATATAACCTGATGGTTATATATAATAACCTATATTATAGGCCTGATCCCCCCTCGTAGCAGGAGCATTACTGTGGATAAGTCTATGTATATAAATGTATGTGCTGCTTGTGGTACCAGCACGTATGGAATGGGGAGCGGGCTGTGTATTTTTAAGGCCCCCGGTGCTGGTGTGTCCGTGCAGCCCAGGGCGCTCTCTGCCCTGTCCCTGCCCAGCGCCGCGGGTCAGCCCTGCACCGAAACACAGCGAGGGCTCCAGCCTCAGCCAGTCACCCCAGCCATGCCTGCACCTTCTGGAACTGAGAGGTGATCTTTCATGGGATGTAATGACAGTGATGTGGATGGAAAGAATCTATTTTTTACCAAGAGCAGAAGTTCACTGAAGTTCTTGAAGGATTTCTGCAAGTACCATAAAGTCACCTGTTTGTCCGTGATTCCAGATAACCACTCAAGGCAACTTAAAAAACCAAAAAGCAGAATAAATCAGTTGGTGTCTTGTCACCAAGCAGCCTGCTCTCAGCACTGGGGTCACACCCACCACAGCCAGCATGTGCCTTGCTGGGGCCTGGGCCCTCCCACAGCATCTGCTTTGAAACACACCTCCTGCTCTTCCAGGCTAAAACTGCACCTTCTAGACTGTGTCAAGTTATTAAACAACCTGGCTGAATTTAGGTTCAAACAGGGAAACCAGCAGGACAGAAGAAGTTTCAGTTCCAACCGAAACAGAAACTTTCTGAGGTTTTGACTGAATACAAAAACATGAAAGACTTAAGTCAATTTGAGACATTCCTTTCAGCCCAAAATTATGTACTTTGGTTTACCTTCTTTTATTTAACACAATTGAAGTCTTTTCTCAGTTTCTTTACTCAGAAAATATTACGAACAAGAAAACATATTTTTGAAGCTAAACAATCAGAAACAAATTCAGTATTGTCAGCCCACTGGTACAGGTGCTGTTTCCAGGTTCTCCCACTTCCTTTTCCTCCATCAGCCTCTGATGTCCCTTTTTGTCCCTGACCAGCCCAGGAGTGAGCTCATATATCTGTTGACACGTGACAGGATCTCACTAGCTCTTTAGTTCTGTAATAATGGCATTTGTTCTGTATAAATTCATGGTAGTGTCAAATAACTAAGGTTTCCAGTAAGAGTGGCTTGTGTAAAAATGTTGCGTAAAAATGTGTCCCTGTTGTTAACTGCATTCTCTTCCTTGTAGTTGCTTCAGATTTTCTCCTGGCCTGCCAAAATAGATTTTTAACATTCAGAAATTAAAAAGATAGCAATTATTTTTTTCTTCTGGGAAGAAGAGGCATTAAAGTTTTTTTGAAAAATATTTTAAAGTTGAGGAAATTGAGAAGCCATTCATTTTATATCAGCCTTTAATGATTTGTTTGATCAGTGAGTTAAAATTTGAACAGCTCTCATAATAAATCATCAGAATACCTGACTCTTTGACTGCAGCTGTCATGCCATGAACCTTTCCTTACAAAATCCCCTGCCCACGCACATCCCCAAAGGAGTTGTCTTTCAAGATCAGACAACTGCTCACAGTTCAGGCTAGGCAGGGGAAAAAAAAGAAACGTTAAAAAAGGGAAGACAGATTACATCTGTCTTAAATCACTCAAAACCTCTTCTGGATAAACAAATACATTGACCTTGAAGTGACATTTTGGCAAAGCCAGTGAAGTCTGATCCCAGGCTGTATGATGCTTTTTGCCTCCTTCATAATTTTGTAATAATATTTGGCAACTTTCACCTTGATGTCAGTGGCCAAAGAAAGCTCAGCACAGAATGGTGCAGCCAACGAGGCAGTCGTGAAGCTGGAAACTCCTGGTGACTGTGTAGTGATGCTTCCTCCTGGGAAGCTGTTCCGCAGGAGTGAATACAGGGAGCCAAAGGGGAGGCTCTGACCCTGTCCACTTGCTCTCTGTAGCACCATTCCTGTGTGCAGGCATTGCATGAGCAACACAGCAGCCTGGGCTGGGGAAAGGTGGTGAAACTGCTGCCAGGGCTGTGCTGGTCCTCCAGCAGAGCCAAACAATCCCCATCCCCTGTCTGAGATGAAAATAAGCCTCCTCACATGACATCCATCAAACCTTGTCCTGGGAATCAAAGCACTTGTGAAAACACCCCGATGATAATGGTTGCCTAAAATTTTCAGAGATGGGCTTACTTGTGCCTGGGTCAGGCAGGCTGAGGTTCCAGGTGTGAGGGTGTGCCGGGGGTCTAGTGAGGACCAGGCAGGTGGGGTGCAGGCTGGCCGGGGCTGCGTGTGCCTGGCGGTGCTCGTGCCCTGCTCGCGGTGCGGGCAGCCTGCGGGGGGTCCCGCAGAGCTCACAGGGCAGGGGAATAGAGCAGACAAATGACGCCTGAGTTCATCACGAAAATCATAACTTTGTGTAATAAATACAGACAACCTCTAAAAGAGCAAATTAAGTGCAATCTGGTTTTATTGCAGCGTTTGTTTTGTTTTCTCTGTCTTCCCTAGCCAGGTTTTACTCTGAGATGCACTTACGCCTGTGTTGCAGGTTCTGCAGTCATAGCGGTTTGGCTCTAGTAAAATCTGACCTTGTGAATTATCACCTTAAGCTTTAGTAAGCTGGTCATATGGGTTTGGTTTTCTGGGTGACATTTTTGACTCTTGTAAAAGCTCCTATTGCCTGGCACGGGGATGTCATCAGCTGGTAGAAAATTGGGGACTACACTGATCCATACTGTGCAGTGAGACACGGGGGTGCTTCCAGACAGCCAGGGGGAGGTGATGCAGGACTGCGGTGGTTCCCCTCACGTTCGTCCTGCCGGGAGGGAGGAGCCTGGCTGTCACTGTGGTTACACTGGCAGTGGTGCAGAGGAGCCTGGGGACCATTTCAGGCCCCATCAGGTGACAGTGTACATCTCAATTACCTCACACCGTTCCCTGTAAACAGAAGCTGCCAGTGATTCTTCCTCCTTTTGTGTTTTCATTCCTACCGCCCCTTCAAAGATAGAGGAATAAAGCAAATTAAGGAAGCACAGACGGAGGTGTAGTGGGAGATGCATAGTGCTGTTGGTTGGTTTAGAGAAGCATTATTTCATTAAATTCTCTGGAAGTAGACACAGGCTTCCACAGAGGACTCTAGCTGGATCTATTTCACTATAATACTTGTGTCTTTGTGTAATTTTCACAGCCAGTAGAGAGAACACAGAGCTGAGTAAGCAAGCTATTACCTTCTCAAGGTTTTCATTACCTCTGAGTCTACAGAATGAATGATTTTTATATAACTTTGGCATTGGAAGCCATCTCTCCACCAGTTGTACTAGTACTGCCTTTGTGACTACTGCTGTTCTGTGCTGTGCTTCTAGTGACCACAGAAAAATGTTCAGGTGAAACGGTGGTTAAGTTTTGGGTTTGTTCTATTAGAGTAAACTGAAATCCTTTACTGACAGAGAAACATAAGTACACAATCTTACAATACTTTCTTCTCAGTATACTGTACTAACGAAGCTGGTAACCTCTGATCAAAGCTCCTGCACTGTAAAAGCAGAACTGCCATTGTATTAGCTGATACCCTGACTAGCAAAATGCTTTGGTTATATTCAGCTCTGGGCACTGCTATCACCTTTCTCTTGCCCCTGAGTACTTTGCTATGCCTAGTTGCTAGCTCTATTAGGTACAGATCTCCCTTTCACAGCCTCGCAGCCTTTGATGTATTTATTATCTTCACAGCCATCCTCTGAAGGAGAACAAGATTTTCCTTGTTTTGCAAAGAATGAGCAGAGCCACAGAGAAATGGAGTCTGTAGTTCACTCAGGGCTGTGACAGGAGCAGCCATAAATTTATCCAAGTTGGTTTGTTTCAACTGTCTTCACTAGACAGCAGCAGCACACTGCCGTGCACATTTCGCTTCCCTTAACTGAAGACACAGCAGGGTCCCAAGAAGGCTTTTTACTATGTAAAAGGTCTCCATCCATTAGTCAGCCATCAAAAGAAATAGAATTTGCTCCGCTTTTCCCAAAAGGTCTTAGTAACTAGGATCAGATAGAATAAAACTGTTTAGAAACTTACTCTGATGCACCAAAATGCTTGCAACCACAGCCCCTGTGCAAAACAGGTGGTCGTGAAGGATGCTTGTGAGAGGTTCCTCAGCTGAAGTTCATGAATTCTCATACTGTAACTAAATGCTAATTTGTAAAATTACCCTTTCTTCCTAGAAGTCCTTATTTAAACTACCTGGACTAATACTTCTTCTTTGCCATCAGAATTGTGCTCTAACATTGCTGTGGGTTGGTAAATGATTCTCTAGCCCTGCATGATCACTTCAGAGTGAGGAGCACTCAGTAACATCTGGACACATCTGAACACCATCTTCAGAGAAAGGGAAGTGCAAAGCCTCATTAAGAATTCAGATGTTGGACAGATATTGGAGCATATTTTGTTTTGAAAAGCATCCTTTCTCCAGTGGGATGCCCAGCATTTGTGGGGCTTGAATGTTTGGGGGTGTTTTTAGTGGCTCTGTGTGGGCAATGATGTTCTCCTTGCCTGGAGCCCTGCTGTTGCATGGCACAGCACCAGAGCTGTACAGCTGGCTGAGAAGGCAGCATGTCCTCTGGGCTATGGTGAACTACCACAGGAAGAATCTAACACAAGCAGAAAATTCCTGGTATTTAGGTTACTGCAGAACAGCCAGGTTTTAAGCTGAGGCCCTGAGGGCCATGAGTGATGGGAAAGGCACGGAGTCTGAAGCTGGGGTCTTGCTCTCACTGGTGCCAAGACACGGGAACTAAAGATTTGCAGTCATTCCCAATTTGTGACTGTAATAACGAGGAAGACTCGTATCCACCCAAGAAAGATGTTGTGCCGGTATCTGGAGGAAGGCTCTGACAGATGGGGTACACTTCAGGTAGTGCAGCGGAGCCGGTCAGGCAGTGCTGTGTTCCCAGCTCAAACTGCTGATGGCTGAGTACCAGCCTCCCCTTGGCAGCTGAGGCAGTGCCGTTCCCCACCCCATCCTGCAGCAGCTCGCTGTGGCAACACGTGTGAGGTGTGTGGCAGCGCCCTCTGGACGCTCCAGAAAAGCTGGGCAACCGATGCCCTGTCTCAGGCAGGGAGCAAAAATGGGGAGCGGAGCAGCACACAGTTAAGTCGCCCATCGTGGCATCTGCTCCAAGGCCAGCACGAGCCCATGGGAGTCCCATGCCAGAAGCCAAGATTTGGTTCCACTCCCAGAAAAGTCAACGAAACCCATTTACAGTGGAATGATTTCATCCTGTACTGCACGCTGAGTGACTTTCCAACATGACTATTAATAGCAGGGGTTTATCCCAGGTACAGGCTAGCAGAGCACAGAGCTACAGCGTTTCAGCGTAGCTGATCAGTGGAGCCCTGGACTAAAAGATGCTGAATCTGTCATATGTGGGCAGATCTCACTTGGCTTCAGAGTCTGAGTGCCTCTAGGAGCTACCTAAACATTTTTCTATTTAATACATCCCTTCCCATGGTGCCATTCTCAACATCAGCTAATCACCATCCCATGGGGAAAGAAGGAAAGCCCTATCTAAAAAAAGTGGCAGCTAAAATTTGGTGGCCTTGTCAAGGAGTTCAGGAGCTGAGTTGTTGCTAGTGTCTTCTATATGGAAAGTGTTAAGATAGTACAGTGCTAAAAAATGGTACAAGATAGAAAAAAGGACAGGAGCCATTAATGTGTAGGGAATGTTGGACATTACACACCGTGTGGTTTTGACTGTGCAGGATTTCTTTTCCATGTGTCCTTCCCTTAAAATTGTTCTTCACAAAACTTTTGCCTTTTATGCTCCACAGACAAGCAGAGCAAATACAGAAATAATCTCCAGAAATGTTCTGCAGATGTTTTTGCTTCTTCAGTCTGTGTCTTTTCCTTCCAACCCAAAGGTAAGCAGAGTGTTTGTTTTGTCTTACAGGAACATCTGAATTTTGTTTCATATAAATAATGTGGGTCAAAAGGAAACTATGCTTCCAATTATCCAGCCCTTCCAAAGCAAGCTGAGTGCAGTAACGGATGTGGCATAAAGAGAGTAACCTGCACAGATCCCCAAAATACAGTATGTACCGTAGTGCAACCCCTTATTTCCCATTCCGGACCAGAAGAGTTTGCAGTTTTTGCTGGAAATGCCCTGCACAGGGCTCCCAGCTGTATTGCCATCCCTGAAACTATAAGTTTATGCTTATGCTGTGCAAACTGGTTCAGTTCTGCTGTAAGGTCCTATTTGGTCTAAAACCTGCAGCAAAGCTCCAAGGACTATTAATCCAGCTTTAAAGGGAACAGAAGAAGAAAAATTATCAGAGCTTTGAGAAACTATGTTGCTAAGTTTCTTACTGCACGGATCAGTGGTCCTGAGACTCTGGGGAGAGGTAGAGGCACTGCCTTCCACCTCCTTCAGCCCTTCACAAAGCGATGATGAACTCGTTAACAATTCACTCATTTACATTTTCGAGTGAGCACATTACCACACAGGGACACTGCACCATAAAACTTCTCAGTCCAAAACCCTGTCCCTCCATCTGCCGATATGATGGTACGGGTCTGTTAGCCTCATCAAACCAGGTGCTGGCTTTATTGTCCATCCACAAAATGTTAATTTTGACATTGCAAATTCGAGTTGAACTCTCTGTATGCACAGCAGCTCGGGGAGGTTCAGCCCACAACGCCTGGTTGGTGTCTGAAGTGCTCAGTGCTCTGCCTTTCCCCTTCTGGTGTACTCGGAGGTTTTACTCCCGACAGCAGCTGTAGGGACACTGCCTGGCACTAACGTGGGAGGATGGAAGCTGCTTTAGGGGACTGGTGACTCGGGGGAGCAGCTGTTGGTCAGTAAGGTTTGTCTCAGGTTGTCATAAGCGAGAGGAAAAAAAACCAACATATTCTTTATATGGACTATGAGGAGGAGTGGGAAGGGGGAGACTCTTAAGTTATTACTAAGACTGATGATACATAGATCTTGCTTGATTCGTCTGGGACATTTTAAGAATGTCCTTAAGCTACCATCCCACCTCTTCAAGGTGACAGTTATTCAGCCAAGATAAGCAATATCAGCAAGTGCTCGTGATTTCAATGATCTACTTAATAAGCATTTTATGCAGTTTGTTTGCTTGTTTGAGCACAATCTGGAAACACAGCTGCAGCAGCACACCAGATGTGCCCAGCACGCCTGGCCACACGTAACAGGACATATTTGTGTCCCCAGGAGGTGCGCCCTGGGTCATGTATCTGACTTGCATGGCAGAGACACAACATCCCTCCCTGGATTTGAGAACCTCACCATGGGATACAACAAATACCTCAGGCCCTACTTTGGTGGTAAGTTGGCTCCATGCATTTGACCATTTGAAGAACAGTCTGTAAGGCTTGTGTGGAGGGGAGAGCATGCTTTAAGCTTTCTTTAGCATGTCCCAGTTTATAACAGGTTGTGTTTCTTTTACATTAGCTAGTAGCCAAAGCTGTCCTCCTTTCTGTGCATCCACTGTTGTCTTGAATAGATAGTGCATGCAGGTGTGGGGCATGACATCATGTCCATCTATGAGGTTAACAGCAGGGAATTGATAAACTTCAGTACCTCTGTGAAAAACCCGGTAGACTAACTAAATTCTGCTCTAACTGTACATGATTTTCTGCTTTATTTTTGTTCAGGCATTTCATTTAGTAGATTATGGCTATAGAGGAATAAAGCCATTCTCCCTGCCAGAAATACTGATTTTTGACAGATGCTTTCACTTCATACTGAGACACAGAATAAACATGCTTTAAACCCTCATGAAATTCTAGGGAGTAGGGAGCACCTGAAGGACAGTCAGGTATTTAGGAACTTACCTGAGGCTTTTGTCCAGTTTGGGTGTCAGGTCTCCCACCTTCCAGGTGAGTGCTGTAACCACTCAGAGGAGAGGGTTTCTCAGAATGACATTTAGCACCTGAAAAATACTGATTAAAATTTAAAAAACAGCTATAAAATTTTAATTTTTATTAATTTTGCTTTTCTGCCAGAACCCATTAATGAAACTATACTCAACAGAAAAATTCCCCATCAGCTTTCACCAGGACTTGGATGTTTTCCATTGCAGCTCCTGCAGACTGACCTTCTGCTACAGGCAGCTTCGAGCTTCTTCCTTTTTCTGACGACAGTGATAAATTTCTGGGACAGTACAGAGTTTAGCAGATTTTGTTATGCCTAGCATGTCAGATCTCATGCAGGAATAGAAAAGCTCCTCTAGATCCTGTCACATCAGTGAAGAGATGCTTCTGAATGACCTCATGTGAAACGGAGGTGGTCAGGACTCTGTGACCCTCTCCAGAGGCTCTCAGTCCTCACAGATCCGTCCTCTGGTCATTAATTTGCGTGGGCTTCATGTGTCTCAAAACAAGATGGAGGATGTGAATGACAGCTACTTTTAGAAATACACATTGTTTGCAAATGAAGTATGTTGGACTTTGGAACAGTTTAAACCAAATAAAAAGCCAAAACTACTTGGTAGGAAATTTAGAAATTGTGACCCTTGGACTTTCCTAAATGTGATTTAGATGATAAAAAGGAGTTTAACAAGTCCCATGAGGAAAGACATCACTGTGTTATCACTTGGCCAGAGAGAGCTGTCCAGGAAAGAACCAAGCCCTGCTCGGAGCCCCAGATTGATACTGGGGATTAGATAAACCAGGCACAATCTAAGGGAAGGTTTGTGTCTTTCTGCTCCTATTACCAAGTTGCCCCCCTCAGAACCAGATGTTCTCCGTGGCAGGACCCGGTGAGCCCTCTCCAGCCCCCAGCTCTGACATTTCCTGGGGAGGAGCTGCCCTCTCGTGGTGGTTTAAGAGTTACTGTTAGAAATGGGGGACACTAAGGGTTCGGGACTTGAGTGCTGAAAATTCGCTTGTAAATAGAGCAGTACTATAATAACTAAAAAGATGCAAAGGCTATTGCACTTCTGTGTTTTAACCCAGAGCATGGTCTCAGGAATTACTGAATTTCTCTGCCTCTTAGTGTTTCCTCTTCCTCGCTACCTGCTTGTGGAGAGTCCTCCGAGAGCTGTGTGAGAAATACTCTGTACAAAGTTTACCGTTCTTGCCACTGGGCAGGTGTTGTGGACTGGGTAACAAGGGACAAACTGGCCCTGGCTGCCTGCCCGTCAGCAAATGCCACTGAAATGCCGCTTAGCTAGGGCTGGTGGGTGTTTGCTCTCTGCTGCCATCACCAAATACAGAATTCCAGTTCCCTAACAGTGACAACTTTATTTTGGATCATGATGTCATTTGTGTGTCTAATGTCATGTCTGAAACAGTGTCTAGCCCTTTGAGCTTCTGTGGTCTTAGAGATAGCATGGGCCGCTGTCAGCAGTGCCCGCGCTGCACGGATCCTGAGCAGTTTGGTTGTGCTCTTCACTCTTCCCTTCTCTCTGCTTAAGATTTTCTTTCCCACCGCAGGAGAACCTGTTCAGATTGCAATGAGTCTGGACATTGCAAGTATTTCTAGTATATCCGAGAGCGACATGGTAAGTGAAAGAAATTTTATTTTATAAGTGATAAGAGTAGGATTTGCCTGAGAGACTTGTCATATATTCCTGTGTGTTCAGCACAGAAACTGTCATATCCAGGCTCCTTTGCTTTCCTGTGCCTACTGGCCACTTTCAGAGGCGTGATGAGAACAGGGCTTATTTATGACTGCAGACTATGTAGATACCATAGTAATGTGGGCTTGTAAGTGAATAGAGATGGCTCCAAAGTTCCTACACATCAAAAACTCAACATCTCCGGAAATCAGGCCCCCTGGAAATGGAAAGAATCAAATGCCCCTGTGTGGCATTTCCTCTCCCTTACCTTTCCTCTGTGTAGGAGCCCTCTGTGTAGGGTAGGGGTGGTGCTGACTGAAGACACGGGAAGGGTTTATTCTCATGGTCAAGAAACGGTTTTGAGCTGCGATAGTCTGAGTTTCAAAGGACTGATCATTCCAAGAAAAACCCGCCACAATTTACAAATACACAGAGAACATCTCCCATCAATGCTGAGTCTGGTTCCCTCCATTCCTGTTAACGACTGGATTTCAGACACTGATCTCTGAAAACACCTGTTTCGGGTTGACCAAAACTATGGGCAACTTGGGTAAATTCAGCAAAGTGTTTTGGTCCAAACAGTCAGAAGTTCAGTCAGGAACAATTTCCACACTTTATCTCAGAATTTTCAAGAACACCATTGACTTTTTTTTTTTTTCCTCTCCCCCCAACAAATTAAACAAATTCACTAAATAAAATATTGTAACTTTGGTAAGCTATTTCTTTGGGGAAGGTGCAGAACCAACAAAATCAATTATTCACATACCTCTAACTTAATTAAGGGCCTTGTAAAATAGCTCCTGTTCTGGAGTTTCTCTTCTTGATGGTCCATCTGAATTGCTGTGACCACGTGGAAAACATTGCAGAGGCTTACTTATTCTGTGCCTTGATAAAAGCTAGAAAAACAGTCAGGATTCTTCACTTTTGTCACTGTCATAATTCATTGTATTGACAGGCATAATTGTGTATTATTTAATATGTTTTTTCCTCTGTCACAGGCTGAAATTAAATTTAGAAGTTGCAAAAGCTAACATTGATACCTGATATTTACTTATACCTTTTGTCTTAAAGCATTTTTAAAATTATAGATGAAATGAAACAGAATTGCTTCATCGTCCGCACACAGGCAGCGTATCTGTGATAAAACATTGCAACTTCACACTGTTAACACAATCGCCAGTATCAGTCTGTCTGTGACAGAGAAGTTTTGAAAACAAAAGGTATTACTGGTTGCATTTATTTCCTCTATAAGGAAGGAAGTGAAATAGTACAACAGTCTGCTGTGTCTGTTCCGAAGGCTCAGTGAAGAATTCTCTTTAGAGCTGAGCACTGCTTTTTCTTCTGTGGTGGGGCACCATGAAAATGCTCCAGTCGCTGCAGGTAGATTTTGGCAGGCTAAACTCGTTAATCCTAGTGCCCTTAGATTCAAAATGTCTGTTTAAAAAGATTCTACAAGTTTTGTTTTTTCATTTGTTTTGGATTTGCTTACCTTTTTTCTCCAAAGCGTTGATGTCTTTTTCATGATCATGTTTATAATATGTGTGTAATTTTCCAACTCTAGACAATGACTGATTTTTAATGTCAGTGACTTGTTGAGGGGCCTCAAGTGCGCGTCTCATCTGTTGTCTTACCTGCAAAATGGACACAGAAGTATCAAAATTGCTTGTTAAAAAAAAAAAAAAGTACTATGAGTATAATCTGTAGTCCTCAAACACTACACATGACAGTGTAAGTATATGAGAAATGTAATACAGTCAATAAAACGGTGATGAACATCTATTGGATTTAGTGCAGGTGTTTGAAGCTGAGCTTTGATAGCTTGAACAAACGTGTGTTCTGCCTCCTGTCACGCGTGGCAGAGCCACAGCAATGCTGTGCAGGTGTTCTGCACATGCACCCTCACAGGTTTTCCTCTCTTTCCCAGGATTACACAGCCACTATATATTTGCGGCAGCGCTGGACAGACCCCCGGTTGGTCTTTCATGGCAACAAGAGCTTCACACTAGATGCTCGTCTAGTGGAATTGCTCTGGGTACCAGACACGTACATTGTGGAGTCAAAAAGGTCCTTCCTACATGACGTCACTGTGGGGAACCGCCTCATAAGATTATTCTCTAATGGCACTATCTTGTATGCCTTAAGGTAAATCAGCCTTTGACTTTGATGATGGTGGTTCAGAATAGATTTCCAGAACTATGCTGGCCAGGAGCAGATACCAGCTGTCCTGGGTAATGAGTTTGGGGTCAACAAGCCAGCTGTGACCACACTCCTGATCCATTACCTCCTGTTCTGGTCCCCTGGAAATGCCTCCAAGGATCCAGATTCCCTGTCATGATACGTGCTGTGTCCTGAGCATGGTGCCCGCTCACAAGGTGTCACCCAACACAAGTGGAGGCAGATGGAGGCACAGGAGGAATGCAGGGGGGACATCACAACAGTAAAAGTTTAACAGGGAGTGGGAAACTCCTTATCCAGTGCCACATAGCCATGATTTCTGCTTTTTACTAAAGAGCATATTTGTACATGTACTGAAGAAATGTGCACTGTAACTGTGTTAGCAATTCATACAGCGTTACCTCTTCCCAGCTCACAGTAAGCATGTCCAGTTATCTCACCTGCAAAATAAAACTCATTCGCCCTCCGTGTCAGAGCAAGCCAGAGTATGTGTGCAGCTAGTTACTGTGCCTCAGTTGGCAAGTGGTGACTTCTTAAGATGTGCAGCCCTGGTAGCCCTGGTAAATGTGTGAATCTACACTGAATTCCCCACCACAGCAAAGCAAAATTCCTCCTTTGGTTACATTTTCATCAGTGTGGCTGCGAGGGTGTATCTTCTTAAGGAGGGTTCTCTTTGATTATATCAGTCCATTAATTTCATAGGTTGAAATTATCTAAATGACAGAGCAGAGTCTTTGCAGTCTAGTTTGCTATGAAAACCAGAGATGTTTCATTACGTGATTTTATTGCAACTTTTGGAGTTCTTTCTCTTCCTACAGAATCACTACTACTGTTGCTTGTAACATGGACCTTTCAAAATATCCCATGGATACACAAACATGCAGACTGCAGCTAGAAAGCTGTAAGTATAAAATTCTAAAAACCCCTGAGTTCAAATTTGTTTATTCATGTGTAACTATGCATCTTGAATATTTGGATTCATCAAAGCAGCTTTCTGCAGTAGACTTTTATTTCTGGAAACACTAATGTCCAAAATAAAACAATTTTGCTTCATCATTCTTCAATCACTTGTGTTGTAATCCACAGTTTAGAGCACTCCTGTCACTGTGCAATTTATATAAAAAGGAGTAGTAATAAATATTATTTTTATTAAAGTGTAGATCAATTTTGCGCAGAATTAATGAAGTAATAATAGCTAGTTTTACAAATTTTGGTCCCTTTTGCATACACAGCTTCTTTGAAACTAACGTGGGGTAAGTGCATGGGATGGAGTACAGCAAGGAACAAATTTTCAGTTTTATGCACCTGTTGCACCTCCCAAACCTCCACTGTAACAAGACAGTGTGAAGGGTGGTTCTTACTAGAATAAGAGTTGAATGTGCCTCAGACTCATGAACTGAAACTAAGGCCAAACCCAGCTGTGTGGTGTATGCCTCTCCGTGAGGGCTGTCACAGTGATGCAGATGATGGGACCCTCATCAACAGGAGGAGTCTCAGCCTTGGAAGTCTCCAGAAAAGGAATAATCGGTGAATTCTGCTCTCAGTTAAATTAAAAGCTCATCCATGGCAAAGCTGGCTCCAGGAAAATTTAGGGTACTACAGGGCTTTTCCCCAGGAGCTCAGCAAGACCAGTGCTGCTTTTCTGTATGTGTGAAGCTCTACAAGCAAGCAACCATCTCCCACTTCATGTCACAAAAAGAACTATCTAAGATCTCAATACTAAAAAGACCAGATTTTAACTTCTGGGGTTGCAGCATAAATTACCTAGAGAAGCACATATTATTTTCACATTAAAATCCTATTAGTTCACCATGGTTAACTTTATTACAAAGAATAGCTCCTGAAATAATAATGATTGGCCTCTTCTGCTAAAGCATAGCTTGTTTGGGCCTGTTTTAAAAGTGATTGGGTCCTACATCATGCTCAGTTGCTGTATAATTCCAATGAAATTACAGGCACATTGCCCACTGGAGATTTCATTAGGATAAGTGCCCAGAAATAATGCTATTTAAATATACGCCAGATGAATTAACAACAATCTATCATTTATTATACAATTTTCCTGAGTAACCACAATTTATAAAACTGCTTAGAAACTTTGAAAAGTCACATGCTTAGGGTTCTGTGCAGGGATTCATACCCTGGACACCTAATTTAGGAGTTCATCACACTCAAGCTCTGGTAATTTGTGTCTAATAAGAAAACACAATTAGATAAAAATAGAGCTGCAACTGCATCCTATTTCTTCTACCAGGAAGAACAGGTTATTATCAGAATCAAAGTGTCCCTACTAATTTTCTCAAAGCAGGGCACTTAATAAAAGAATCAAATTAGTGAGATTGATGGGCTTGTTTCCTAAATTAAGTGAAATTTTCAAAGTGAATGGCAGGCTGGTGATTCAGTACAAGCTTTATCCCTCAGACTGAGGTATTCCTCAGTCCAACCTGTGGTCATGTTATGCCATCACTTACATTCCTGGAGGCAATTACTCGGCTGGCATATATGGAGTTTACTGATATTATAACTGCTTGAATTGTGATCGCATCTGTCCCACCATTTTGAGGCAGGAATTCAGTGTTACCTAAATGTCAGATGCATTTATTTGTTCTCAGTAATCCTGTGAGGATATAAGGAATAATTTGTAGAAATGGCTGCTTTTAAAAGAGCAAGTTTTCTGGACAGCGCATACCCAGTCAGAAGAGCTGGGTTCATAACCACATAGCAGTCTTGGCTCCAAGCTCTTGACGAACTGAAAATGCCTTTTCTGGTATTTTTAAGCACTTGAACAGACAGTGAAATGTGCTTCTGCTACCAGGTAGGGGACTCAGTGGGCTCTGTTTCTCTTCAGCCATAGTGTTTCTTCTGCTCTCCTCTCATGACTGAAGAGACTATGTTCAAGGGTTGATCACTGCAACAGTTTTATCCTGCTGCATGTAATCAAACTGCGGATGACAGGAATATACTATCTTTTACAATGTTAAAATATTTTGAAATGGAAGTACCTTGTGTAAATGATTGAAATAGGTTCTCAGCAGCCTTGCAAGTTACGCATCATTCACAGTGGTACGTGTTCCTGTTGAAATCTGAACCGGCAGACTGAAAGCACAGCAGGAAAGCACAGCCAGTGTCCACCCATGGTGGGACACAGTTAAGAGGGCCTTTGCTCAGCCTACAATGCCTGCATCGTTTTTCTGTTCCCACCCAGGAGAATATTGCCCAGCAGGACAATAGCTGGGCTTTTACTGGCTAAACCACAGTAATATGGGTATTTATGTTGTCTTTAGGGGGATATGATGAAAATGATGTCATCTTCACGTGGTTGAGAGGCAACGACTCTGTCCATGGCATAGAAAAGTTGCGGCTCTCTCAGTACACAGTGGAACGTTACTATACCCTGGTCTCGATGTCACAGCAGGAAACAGGTAAATCAGAGAAAGAGAAAAGCTCTCAAGTATTTCCCCTCCCACCTCCCTTCCCTTCTGTAGGCCAGTATCTTGTGACTCATGCCTTAACCAGCGAAGTCTTTAGCAAATCTTAATCTCCCAGCAGGAGATAGACAGAAAGATGATGAAATCCAATGAGGATTTTCTGTGAAATGGAAACCCATGGAAAGATGGGAGTTTTAAAAAAATTATATTAATTAGATGAATTTTCAATTATCTTTTCTTTTCCTTCACATTCTCCACTTCTTTCCTTCTCTACCCATACCTTGAAGAAGCTCTCACCCTCCCTCCCAGGTGTGCACTCTATAAATACTGCAGAGTCACATTTACAGTAACTGGGAGTAAAATTATCTTTTAAAATATAATTTTGTTTGTAAATACAATTCTATGGAATAAGATCCCTTCGTACATCAGAATTCAATGTCTTTTTCATTATCATTGTAAATACTCTTCTTTCCAATCACAGACACTGTGAAAGGGGCAAAACTTCCTTAGAATGATCATGTTTTAAACATAACAATGTTTTGTTGTTTACTATAGTGTACACAGCCCATGAACAACATGGGGCTTGTTTCTACATTTCAAAGGGTACTATTGTTTAAACAGAAGAAATATCTCCTGAAAATATGAGCAATCCAGCCCCAGAACACTTATGTCAGTATTACAACTAATTGATTTTAAAAATTGACTGAATTTTTTTGAGCACAAAAAGACACAGTTATCAAAGATTACAATTTACTAATGAATACATGGGGCCTAATTCCATGTGATAAGATTTTGGGATGTGAGACAGAGCCTGCTAAATCCAGAGAAAAACCTTTTGTTTATTTCTTGGCCATCAGATAAGACTGAATTTGGCAATGCCCCTTCAGATCGGTTATTGGGAAAAATGTGCTGTGTTGAGTATGAGAGAATAGATTAAAGCATCAGCTCTTCTGTACTCTGAGTTAAGACACTGGTATAAAATGCTTCCACTGTGGATTAAGCTCAGGAGCCCCTTTGCAAGCCACACATTGTCTTAGATGTCTCTTGTCCAGCAATGCTGTATGCGTGTGTCCCCTCTCGTCTAGGTTATGTCAGGTAAGATCTCTGAGGCAAGAAGCCAAGTTGTGTAAGCTATGCATCTCCCATGATTTCAGTGCAGCTTTGCTGATGTACATCACCTGAAGGGCTGGTGCTGGGCCATCTCATTTCAGTTCAAGTATCCTTGGGAATCTCATGTTCACTGTGTTTCTTCCATTCATGAACAGGCAGTTACCCACGACTGATACTGCAGTTTGAGCTGAGAAGAAATGTCCTTTACTTCATTTTGGAGACCTATGTGCCCTCCACTCTGCTTGTCATGTTGTCCTGGGTTTCTTTTTGGATCACATTGGATTCAGTGCCTGCAAGAACCTGCATTGGTAAGTTATTGCCTGAGGAAGGGCGAGGATTTAAGCAGGCAGGGGAGCTCTGAGGGCTGGGTAGACAGTAGTTTTCTTGAGGTCTCTGTCAGTGATAAATGGTCTGCTCGTGTTCTGCTTTGACCTGTGGCAGAGCTGGGTTAGCAGTACAATGTGGGTGATACACTGTGGCTGACACGCTCGCCCACCTGCAGAGATGTGCATGGCCAGGACTCCCAGTAGATTCACAGCAGAGAGGACAGGGCACACGTTCTTTGTGATGTGCTTTGGAGGGGGTGGGGTTTTTTATGGAAAGCAAGAAAAAGAAGAGAACCAAGTGCCTACTGAAGCCAAGTTGTCAAAGGCAGGGATAGCCTGTGTGAACCTAGTAGCTAGGGCTGCTAAAGCATTTCAGTTGATGGATGACCTAGAACACATCAGTCCTTACCAAATCCATCTGGCAGCAATAGAGGGTGACAACAGAAGGACAGGCCAAGACTTTCCCAAAGTGTACACAAGAGAAGGTCTTTCCTTTTCTGCTTCCCAAGGAGTAACGACGGTGCTTTCCATGACAACTCTGATGATCGGCTCACGAAGTTCACTTTCGAAAACCAACTGTTTCATTAAAGCCATTGATGTTTACCTCGGCATTTGCTTCAGCTTCATCTTTGGTGCCCTTGTGGAATACGCAGTGGCTCACTACAGCTCATCACAAAAGCGTGCAGCAAAAGCACCTCAAGAGGTAAAGCCTGATCTACCTTAATAAGCCTAGTTATCTTGGATGAACAATAATTAGTTCTCCATTAACTGAATAAGACAAATGGTCTTCCTGTTATGGGTACACTAACAATTGCTTCTCCTAATTGTCTCTAAATCGTGTGCAATAAAATGCCTGAATAACCAAGGCTGCTGTGTCTCGAGCAGCAGCCTTAGCTGACAGTCATGTTAGATTTGTAGGACCACATTCAGAAAGGCACTTTGACCTACCAATAGGACCAGGTCTGTAGCCCTGAACTGAGCTCATATGAAAGCATGAAGCACCTCTGTCCCTTTCAAAGCGCAGCCAAAGGGCCAGTATAACACACCTCTCTGCTCTTCTGTGGAATAACACCAATTAGGACACTAATCTGGAAGGTAATTTCCTCTACCAGAGGAAAGCTGAACCCTTCTTCCTCCCTTCCCAGAAGACAGTACCAAACTTCAGTCCTGTGGGGGTTTTGAGAGAGAGAGTGAAGAGTTCAAAGTGCTCTGCTTTAGTGCGAGAAATTAAATAGTCAAGTATGATGATAGTCCAGTGATCACTGAGGGTCTAAATCCTTTCAGAGGGAAAAGAGGTTTCCCACCTCGATGCTGAGTTCCCCAGCCATTAAATTATTGTGTAAACATGAGGAGATGGATGTCTTGTAAGAGATGTTGGGTTGCTCAGTGACATGGATTGAGACTTGCTCAAAGATCTCAAAATGCCTCTAGGAATACAGTTGTGGAAACACAGGTATCTCTGGGACTTCAGGCACTCCTACAAATAGGCAGCAGCTGAAAGGCATGTTGGAATATTGGGATGAACACATATGAAGCTGTGTTCTTTTATCATTATGGTCTCCTTATTGATGAAATCACTTTTCCTCTGCAGAAGACAAACCCTAAAGCTAACTGTATGTTCTTGTCTCCTAGGGGCGTGCAAGTGAACTCAGTAAAGAAAAGGACGAAGTCAACATCACTAACATCCTCAACAGCTCCATCACCAGCTATAAACGGAAAATCAGTTTTACAAGCATTGAGATTTCCAGTGATAATGTTAACTGCAGTGACTTGACTATGAAAACTCATGAGAAAATCAAATGTGTCTTGAGAAACAAAATGCACAGGATTATTAGTTACTTCACAATTCAGAACCCTAGCAATGTAGACCACTACTCCAAATTGCTTTTCCCTTTGTTTTTCATGCTGGTCAATGTGTTTTATTGGGCTTATTACCTATATTTTTAGTAGAAGTTAGTTGCTTCAGTTTCCTGCTTCAGGAGGAGAGGAATCTTGCCAGTGGGCATCTAGATATCTAACCTCAGTGAATCCAACATGGACAAAACGCTTTGTTGTTTTTCCCGGGGTACAGAGCAGAAGAACCTGTGAGGGATGCAAGATGCAAAGCCTTGGTGCTTCAGCATTAGCAACATTGATTCTGGACAACTGCTTGTTCAGCTGAGTGGCTGTGCTGGGCTCTTGTGCTTGTACTTGCTTTTCATTCCAGTATCCAGCCTCTCACCCGGCCAGAGAAGGGCCTGTAGGAGTGCACGTGGCAGGCCACAGAGCACGACAGGTGGAAAAATGACCTTGGAAGTCTGAAGCGGGTTGGAGCCTTCTAGATATCTGAGAAGATGTAGGACTATCGCTGTTATTGTTTGTTTGCCAGAGCTAACAGTAAGAGGGACTGTGATGGCTGCCTCAATAGCCGCTCTGTTGATGTAAGAGACCCCGACGGCAGCAGCACGTGCCTCGCGCGGAGGAACGGCTCCTCGCGGTGCCTCCTTGTCCCGGGGCGATGGCGGTGCTGGGCACAGGCGCAGTGGTACGCCTCGTTGCTTTTAATACCTGTCAGACTCACTGAGGTCACCCTCACTCACTGAAGTTAACCATCCCTGAGACAGATGGAGGGCTTCTTATTTGTAGAGCTGCATTTTTTCAGAGATTTGGGAACGTGAAATACAGGCACCAGAATTGTTTTGTAACCCATCTCTTATACTCTTGTCCTGCTGCACTTGAACAGATTCTACCACCTTCCATGTCTGCCTCACAAATTATTTTTCATCCTGAGGAGTGCCTCCTTCAGCTTTCACCACTGTAAGCAGCTCTGGTTTCTTGCCAGCCATATTGCAGGCGTGGCCAATTTGTCACCCCCTCTTTTATGAGGCTAGGCAGCTGCGTAAGTCAGCAGTGCTGCTGGGTGAAAAATCCATGTGTGGGCTGAGGTACAATGATCAAAATCAGCCCTTCACACTCTATTTTAGGCTGAAACAGTGTTAGGTTTCTGCAGAAGTTCAGATTCTAAGTGGGCTCTGGAAACTGCCAGTCAGCTTTGTTTATCCTAAATCAGCAGGACTGAAAACTTTGTTTTAAAAATAAATGTGGCACAGACACACTGGTGGTTGAGAACCAAATGCCATTTGTTACTATGTAGCTTAAGGCTACTGAAGTCTTTATTTCCTGATTTTAAAATGAACTTTTATTTATGGCAGATTCCACACCCCCCCCTTTTTTTTTTTTTTTTTTTTTTTTTGTCTATGCAACTTTCATAACTTCGAGGGCATAACCTGCAGTTATGTAGGTGAAACAGTAATTGCCTGCAGTGGCTACCCTTCAGCAGGAGTTCTGGCTGAGTGAGGTCTCTCAGTATGCAGCTTATATTACAGTCTCATGCACGCAGCGTTTGCTTAGTGCAAGAGTCTCTTACTGGGGGTTCCCGTAGAAGGTGGGCAAAGCACATAAAACTATAGATTTTTTACTTTAATAACTTTTTATCGAACCACTTCACCACGCTATATTGTGAAGGATCTAAACCACATATTCATAAATCATAGCTTTTACAGAGAGCAGCACAAGAAGTCAAAGGGGAACAGACTGACAATGGCAAGTGAATAAACACAAACTCCAATAATGAAATGTTGGCTTGTATATACTGGCATTTAAAGTCCATTCCATAAAATGTAATAAAGTGAATGATTGTGATATGAACATAATCCCCCAGAGAGATCCTCTATTAGAAAAATCATTACCTTCTTTCTGTGTCAATTTCTTTCTTTAAAACCCAAAATGCCCTAATGTGTTCTACACTGGCCGCCAAATATTAATGTTAACAAAAGGAATTTCTTTGTATGTTACAGTAGACTGCCACTCTGAAGCCTTGCTTTCATTAGATGCAGCTTTTGTTACAACTTTTCTGCTTTGAAGTTGCTCAGGACTTGTTCTAAGTTATACCTCTGTGCAGCAAAGTGTTTTTTATTGACCCGGCCTAGCGAACAGCATGTTGTCTTGAAAAGTGTCAGCTCTGTCTATTCTCATTTATTGTTGATTCTGGTAACTTCGAGAAGGAAGGAAGGAAGGAACAGAAGGTAGTAGGGGAAGGAGGGTTTTTTTTAAGATACCTTATGAGAATATGCTTAAAGAGCTGTTGGCTTGGCCATGGGAAACACCTTACAGAAACTCTTAGAAGCTAGAAAGCACAGACTCCAGCTTTATTTATTGCTATGTATAATTTTCTCCCTCATTGATGAACTTCACCACTTTGATACACCTCACACATGATCATGTCCCTCTGTAGCCCTGCTGTAACACAAGATACTCTGGAGTCAGTGGGGTGCACACAGAGTGGTCCTAAGGCCATTTCAGTGGTCCAACTGATTCCCAGCAAGGACCAGGGGGACCAAAATTCATTTTTGCTAATACATCCTACAGTGAAGCGAGTCAGCTTAGCTGCACTGATGTCCTGGAGCAGCCTGGTAGTATTATTGGTGTTGCTGTCATCCCACACCTGGGCAGAGGGCAGTGACAGATGAGCACTGGGAGCCCAGATAAGTTCTGCAGAGCAGTCAGGGTGATGCACTGCACAATCCCAAAGTCTTCCCTGTCTCTTTTAAGTGTTGTTTAACACAGTCTAGAAGCATTGCTGAATTCAAGCTGAGACTCACATCTGGAGTGCAGAGCAGCTTCTGTGTTACTGGTGTGCAAAGATAAGCCCCAATTTGACAGACACCAACTGAAAATCAGCCTTCCCAAAAAAAGAACTGGTATGTAACATGTAAGCTGCAGGTGAGAACAAAGCCACAGGTGAGCACTACACACAGCTCTGTCTTGCTTAAGGATTCAGCCTTGCACAGGCTCTAGAGAACACAGGAGGGGTTTGAGTAGCAGCCTACCCTCTGAAAGAGCCTCTAGGCTGATGGCTCCTGACCTGGGACCTGTTTCACTTCCCACCCACCACATCTGCCCTGTAGCTATGAGGGAACTTGGCACCACAAATCTGGACGAGCCATGGAACAGAGTTATCCCTAACATTTACTATTTCACCACAGTGCCAATTTTTTTGTGCTCTTGGCAGAATGTGAACATATGGAGGAAAATACTGACTTGCTTTTTCAGATAATTCTGCTTTGCAGTGATGTTCTGATCTGCTGTAACCTTGCCTTACATGTACTTAATAAAGCTTCAGCTTCTGGAGCCTTTGTCTCTTTTTAAGAACATCTGCACTTTAAGCCTTTGTGAACAAATGGTTGTGAATGTGTGTTAGCACAGGAAAGCACAATGGATAGTAGCAGCACGCAGGCAATGCAGGTAATTGAGGAGGTTTCAAGAGATGCAAATGCTTGTATCTGGTGCAGCCCAGAGGAATATAAAGCCTTGTAATATGCTATGGAGAGTTGCTCCAGCACAGGGACCAAAATCAGTCTATCCACAGCAGCATAAAGCATTTGGGGAATTAATTTATCCAGTTTTAAAAACAAAGGAGCTGCACTATAGAGGCGAGCTAAAACAGGCTAACAAGTAGTATACATATGTCTAAGCGTGTAGCAGTGAATGATAAAGAAATACCACCTTTTAGTGCATCCTGACATCCCCCCGCTTCCTTCTGTGTCCCCCACGCCTGTGTCTCCCCTAACTCTCTTGTGCCCACTTCACCCCAGCGTAAACTGGAGCTGGTCTGGCTGCAGCAGCCACTACTCTAAGCTTGGAGAGTGCTATTTTTAATTTTCAGGCGGATGGAGGGTTCAGCTCAGGAATCCTGTTGTTTCAGAGCATGTGGTTTACATTATGATTTCCAAAAGGTATTTGTATATGCAGCCACTACCATCTGCTGTAAGAAATACTTTGCATTTTTAAAAGGTTAATTCCATTTCAAATCTAGTGATTGAATTGGTATCAGAAACCACTCTCATTTGCTTACTCTCTTTAGTGTCACAACACACAGCCAGCCAGCAAGCCGTGTCTTTACAAGGAAAGACTGTTTAGTGCTAGTAATTGGCACAGGTTTTCTCCAAATTCTCACTGAAATAATTTTCCTATTCATTAATGAATAAAAGCTGTTTTAAATTACAACCTGTTGTTACACTTGGGATCAGACAATGGGCTGCTTGTTAATCTGAGGTGAGTGTTAAGTCTGTAATGAATAATTTGATGCATTTCTTTCTTCCTCTTTCCCCTTTTGAGCTCTGTGTCTCAAACAGACTGCAGTTTTCCTCAAAGTTCCTGTGGTTTGAAACTCATTTTAATTGTGTCTTGCTCGCTTAGCAATTTACCAGGAGAATTCAATATTGAACTGCAAGCTGCTTTGGCTGGGCACAAAAATCTGTGTTAATGTCTTATTTTCCTCATCAGATTAGTGCAGGTACACTTATGACTGCAAACAAGAAATCCATATTTTGGGAGCTACTGCTTGGGTGATCATCTCTGCTAGTAAGCTAAATGAACAGAAGAGTTATGAATTGTGAACTGATAAGAGGAAGTAAATTTAGTTCTAGGTACAGAGGTTTTTTTCTCCTTTTGTATAATGTCATTGTACTCTATGGGGAGATCCCCAGATCCTAATCAGAGCTGTGTGTTTTGAAACAGAAGAGATACGCAGATTCAGGGTGTACCAGCACAGTGAGGTCCTGACTCCTGCCTTTACAGGGACAGGGCTTTAGCTGGGTCTGCTGGGCAGCTGGGTCTGCTTAGCTCTGAACTGTCTGGAGGCATGACCTGAGAACTTGCCCCTCCAGAAGCCTGTGAATCCAGAGTTCATCTGGTTTGGTTTTTTTTCCAGTATGTTGTAGGGGTTTTATTTTCAGTCACACTGCAGCATCCCTCCATTTACCCAAGCCTCCACCAGAAGATGTATTTGGATGGAAGTCGCCTGTGTTTGTTTCAATGTTTTTTTAGTTCCACTAAATTACAAAACATGTAGAGTTTTATAAATTTGGTAGTCTATTGGATTTTTATTGGACTAAGACCCCCAGAAAACAAATCCTCAGACTTCAGGGAACATGGAATTAAAGCTCCACAGGTGGGTCAGACCACAGAGATGGCTCTTATCTTATATGGAAGGACCAAGGCCTCCCACCAGTCCAGAATTTTAAGTTCATCCAGTTTGTGACTTCTGCCCACCTGCAGTGCTTTGTTTTAAATATAGAGATTATTTCCACCCCAAGAAGACAGTAGTTTTGGCTTCATACTATCAGTTTAGATTTTTCCGAGAAATGTCCTACCTTTTTCTTTCCCTGCAGCCCACAACCCCCAGCTCTAAAGCACAAACATGAGTGGGTCTACTTTAGCAATGTGCTATGGTACAGGAGAGCAGCAAAAGCAGTATCCTTTCCATGCTACTGGTATAGTAAGAGTAATCCACTCCAGCATCAACAGATACAATTTAACTGGTATTTTCTACAAGCTGAGGTAGTCAGTTAATAGAAAGTGTCTTTAGCTCATATTCAGATTTCTCAGTTGTCCTGTAATATAATGACAAGTATAAAACCAGACTAGCTTTTCAAGACAGCTTGTGCTTTCAGACACCTTTTTTGGGACAAGTAGGTCAGCATTTAATGCAAAAACATTACAGCTTTCAGTGCGTACAAGATGTTTGTGTCTGATATCTTTAGCCATGCTGCAGCTGGAATAGACTGAGACTTCAAGAGCGTTCCATCAGCCTGGACAGAAAAACAATCCAAAGTACGCCCCGCTGGACAGGGACAAAGACATTTGCCCTGCCAACTCAAACAGGAAGCCAGCTAAGCTGAAAGCGCTGGGTGAAATCCTGAGCCCATTTAAGTTAATGAGTCTGGCTACTGATTTAAATGGGCTCAGGCCTTTACTTCTTAACTCATGCTCACACACAGTTTTCATTCCTATTCCCAGCTTCCATGCCTTTTATTAGGAACAAACATGCAAAGCTAAGAGCTATCACAGATGAACTACCCACATTCCTGTACCCCCAAACAGATAACAAAGGGGTCAGGACTAGTGCTGGGCTTCCAGAAATCGGCAAATCCACTGAGAGCCCTGCCCCACCCTGAACCCAAAAGCATAAGCATCAGTGAAAAGAAGGAATAGCAAATATCCTTAGACAAGCCTCATCTTCCCAGGGGCAACGTTTGTGATAGAGATCCCCCATTGATTTTGTTGTTGTTTTTTAACCTCCAAGTAAGTGAATGATCTTTTCTGGAGATTATTCCTTCTAGCCAGGCATGAGTCCCAAAGCCCAGGTGTGCCAATCTCCAGGATTCTTTGA